TGTATCTGGAAAGGCAAGGAAAGGCAAGGAAAGGCAAGGAAAGGCAAGGAAAGGAAAGGAAAGGAAAGGAAAGGAAAGGAAAGGAAAGGAAAGGAAAGGAAAGGAAAGGAAAGGAAAGGAAAAAAGGACTAAGGAAAATGGAGAAAAGAGAATGGAGAACAGAGAAAGGAGAAAGGAGAAAAGAAAAATAAAATGGGTAAAGTACTAGATTGTGAGAGGAAGACAAATGACTGTATGATCAAAATAAACAAAAAAGGAGGATATAGGAAAATACAGAACAATTAATCTGGGAAGATTCTATAGCAGATCATAAAATGATTGATATATAACTACCATGAAAACAATACAGTAATTACTGTTAGTCACGATGGATTTGTCCAAAACAAGTTTTGACAGAATAATCTTTTTTTCTCGTGGAAAAGCTGTGGGCATAATATATTTTGACTTCAGCAAAACATTTGATAAAGTACTCCATCATATGCTGGTTAGCAAACTTGTGATGCATGGACCGCGTGGCATGTCTATTAGTTGAATTCATAACTAACTTGAAAACCATATTGAATGAGTTTTCAGGGTCATATGTTTTTTTTTTTTAAAAAAGAGTTGAAACCTTTAAAATTATCTAGCTGAAACTTATTAATTTAATTTCTCCTAAAAGATCTATCATTTATGCTTTTTTCATCATATTCTGCAAAATAAAACAATGATAGTATTTTGAATCATTACTAGTAGTAACCCATGTACAAATATACTGTTTCATTTCTCAGATCTTGAAAAACCTCAGATTAAATTGCTTTAGCAGATATAAAGTCACACTGTATTTTTAATGTGAAATTTTAATTCAAATTGAACCAGACCTGATTTAGATTGATCTGTTAGCTATTTTCCAAAATGCACATGTATAGGTTGCTAGATACCTGGGTAGGGAATTGAAAATGTGAGGAGCATCTTGGAATTATAGTTAGCAACAAATTGGAGCATGAATTAAAAGTAGCTAGGAATATTACAGCTTTAGGTTGCATAAATAGAATAATAGTTTCCAAATCACAAGAAATAATATTTTCATGTTATCATGTCCTGGTCAGGCCCATCCAAATGCTATATCCAATTCTAAGCACTACACTTCAAGAACAAAATATTTCAATATTAAATGTGAATGGCTAAACCAACTAAACTTTTTTGACGATTGCTATTATTCTTTAGGTTTTTTTAAAAATATTTTTGAATGTCCATGCTTTTTGATTAATACAGGAGTTATTAAACCTCATACTATGTCATAGTGAAAGAAAAACAAAGAAAGTTATAATCATATTTTGACTTTCCAAGAGATGAGTAGAGAAGAATTATTATTAGGGAACTGGAGATTTACAATGAGAGACTGAATGAGCTGGGTATATTTAGCAATGAGAAATACCTGAAGGGCTTTTATCTGCCACCTCAAGGTCAGAATACAGAATAATGTGCTATTTTTGTTAAATGTTGGGGGAAGGATACTAAAGCAGTTTGAGTCTGGAACCAGTTAACTAAATATATTTCATTTTAGAGACTACACAGCTGCTATAGCAAAGAAACATCAATTAGAATTGCTGCACCAAAATCACCATGGAGATTGCCAGGTATCTCCTGTCCAATCCTAAACCTCAAAGTCTCACAGGCAATTAGTTATTCAACAACATACAAGAACTATAAAAAAACATTAAAGCACAAATATTGCAACTACCAGGGGTAAAATGCAACCCAAATAACATTTAATATTTGTACTCTTTTTCCTACCTGTATATTTTAATAGGCTAAAAGCCTCTCACTATGGAAAAGAGAGTAGATAACATCTCTCTATTGTTTTTATAATGGAGCTGTCTTGTTTCAGGCCACTTGCCTCTGACATAGTTTCAAATAGCTGCTTCTAATACAGTGGTTCTCAACTTTTTTAATGCCGCGACCCCCAACCGGTCGTAAGTCAAGGAATACTCAACCAGTCGTAAGTCAAGGACTACTCAACTGGTGCAGCACTGTTTGCAGAATGGGACTTTTGGCAGGCTCAGCAGGGCAGAGACAGCCTGGACAATTCCTATTGGCTTTTGAAAGCCAATAGAATTAGACTCTATTCAAGAGAGTGTATTCTATTGGCTTTCAAAAGCCAATAGAATAAAAGGGAGTAGCACAGCTAAGGAAAACGGGGGGGGGGGGGAATGGCAGACTGCATTGTTTGGCGACCCCCTTGAAATGGTCGTTCGACCCCAAATGGGATCCCAACCCACAGGTTGAGAACCACTGTTCTAATATCTCCAAAAATGTACATAGTTAACACAATAACCTTAGGTGTTTAAATAGGCCTTTGATCCATAGTGATATAACATTACCAAGATCAAAGAGTACATAATAACACTGTTTGAGCATCCTGACTTGGCATTAACTATATGTTGTAAGATCCTCCAAAAATAAACTAAAAGGCTGAGTGGCCCCAGACAGAAAAACAGGAATTGTCTACAATGTACAGTGTAAGCAACGTAACAGCCAGAATGTAGTACAAACAGGCAGAAGACTAGCAAAGCCTATCCATGAACATCAACTAGCAGTCAGAAGATATGATAAAAATGCCTTAATTGCACAACAAATTGATAGACTCAACCATAGGTTAAGTTTCATCTGGGCAACTGTGAGCATCCTGGACCAAATCCAATCCAAAAATATTAGAGAATTTCTGGAAGACCAATACTCAGACAAATTGCTTATCAACATGCACACAGAGATAAACAACATCTATATAACATTCAAACAAGACAATCAAAAAGCTAAAAAAATCTCCTCACCAACAAACAACAACCAAATAAGCAGAAATTTACATCAAGATTAATACTACTAAACAATATTAATTAACAGTAAACAATAGTCTTATCAAGGATCACTAAGAACACTCCCACCAACACTGATAGTGAAATGCACTTGTGTATAAATAGAGACCAACCCCCTCACACACATTTTAGTACTTGTTATGTTAATTGGGTAATGAAACAACTGCAAGAAAACAACCAAGCTCAGACAGCACAAGGACTCAATAGTTTAACTTGGAGTACAAATATATTCTTCCATTGGTACTTCAAAGTGTTGACTACCATCTGTAAAAATTTTCCTAGCATGGACACAAGTTATTTACAGAACTGCTTCTCTCCAATGTTTGCTAATCAGCTCAACATCATTGAGCATGAGTTGGATTAGAAGACCCCCAAGGTCCCCTCCAAGTCTATTATTCTGTGAAGGTGAAGGTTTGTTCTCTGAGCTTGTGGGTTGGTTTCTGAACATTTTGTTACCAGGCTAGGTAACATCTTCAGCAACTCTGCTGAAGATGTTACCTAGCCTGGTAATGAAATGTTCCTACAGATATTCACCACTATTGCAAACCTATTATTCTGCATCCATCAATTCCATTGGAAGAGTCATATCCTGAATCCCATCTATTAGGGAATGTTACATGAGAGAACTTAGGAAGTACGCAACTGCCCTCTAGAACACCATACCCATGAGACTGAGCTGGCTACATCTCTTCTGGTATTTTGAAAAGCCTTAAACCATGGCTGTTTCCAGGCATGGGAACTGGGAGATGAATGGATCCCATGATATGGTTGCTATGTACTGATTATTGTTGCCTTCAGCTGCTACCATATGAATATTTAATTATTTAGATCAATAAAACACTTTTTATTGTGTTATAATTTAATGTTAACCACCCCAAAGTCACTGTTGCAAGCTGGGAATTGATTGAAATAAATAAATAAACATAGAATGCATACATACCACACATTACATCATAAGTAAAAAAACAAGTCATATAGTCACCAGAGTTACATGGAAAAATGTTAATTTGAAAATCATAAATATTTTATAGGAATCATAATTTATTACTTCTCCAGGAACCTTGATTATAGTTGGGACTTTATGTTTCATATTTCTGGCATGGATTTTTATATATTGCAAATTTGAATGCAAAATGCAGTACATAGTGTAGTTATTTTTAACTGCTGGTTTGAAAATCTTACAGAAATATGGCATATTACTACTGGAACTCTGGCAAGTACATTATTTTATAAATACACCCTTTATTGTCCTGCAATTACATATTTATCTACACAAATATTTAATTTATTAACAGATATTAGGTAGTATCTCATCTTTTTATCAATGGCTTTTTAGAGGGTTCAGCTTGTATTGATTATTTAAACATTGTAAAAACAGCCAAAGATCCCATTGCACAACTTTCCAAAGTTCCACATGTACACAAACATTTAGTGGTTTAATGGATACTTTAAAACCTTCTGTAAGATACTGTTTTTGTCCTTGATCTTAACCAGCCCCCCAAAATAGATATATAGATTCCAGATATAGGCCTTTCCCATTATGATCAATGTTTCATGTGGCCCTTAAGCAACTTAGAAAACTGTATTTTGTGTCATAAATTAAAAAGTGTTGTCTTATTTAAAGCCCTGAACAAGTGATGATTATACCAGTCCTTGGAGTACTGGCTATCCCGATATCCCCATAATCATATGATTTTGATTTGGGCACTTGGCAATCGGTTCATACTTATGACCTTTTGCAGTGTCCAAAAATCATATGATCACTATTTGCAAACTTTCCTCTTAGCTTCCCCAGAAAGGAAAGTCTCTGGAGTAAGTATCCCTCATCTGGACACCCTCTCCCAACCTCTCTGTACTTGCACTGCCTGACCACTCTCATACTATCTGCCCACTTCCTGACCCATGCCACATGTCCCTCACAGACTGTAAACCCTCGTGTACTCTCCCTGACCTGTGCCATGTGTTGTACCCACCCACTCATACACTTATTTAGCCTCCCTGACCCACACCATGCCACTAGCATGATCCTTTGCATCCATGTGCACCATCCCCAACACATTTTCACATCCTTCCTTATTCTCTCTGATCTTCCCCCACACAGTCCCCTAGACTCTCCACTCCTTTGTCCTAGAGTCAGAAGCCATTTACCTGCCTGCTGGTCTAGGATTTGCAGCTTTCTTTCAGCTTCCCTGTTATATCTTCAGTTCTTTAGACTTTGAACAAGGCAGACTGTTGAAACAGCAAACAAGTTTATTAACTCAGAACAGGAGCAACCCTAAAGGCTGCTGCAAGCTATTTATACAGTTAGCCTCTAGGAAGCAACCAATAGGTTTAAAGTAACAGTTTCCCACCCCAAACTTCATTATCAGCTTGGAGAAAGTCAGTCTGGCTTTCAGTAACAGCAATGTTAAACAATACAGCAATATAGGTCAGACATTAAGCAAGTGATTTAAAACAGTTGTGGCCAATACATTACACCCCTTCCCCCTAGATGGCGCAAACTCTCAATTGATGGACATGGTCCTGCATATATTTAGGCAGCCTTCTTGACTGTTCTGAACATCTAGGGGTTGCAGGGGTTTCCTGGTCTACCTGCTCGCCTGCCCGGCTTGGTAGACCAGGACTCTGAGGTCCAGTGAAGTCAGGTTGACTCGGGTTCCTTTGGCTGGCTAGTCTCAGTCGACCCAAACCAAAGTCCAATCGTGCAATAAAGTTTGCAGGGCTGTCCCTCAGCGCAGTTTGCCGGTCCTTTTCAGTGGATACTGTCTATCGTCCGGGGGAAGCTCTCCTATGGCCTTTTCCCTGTCTCCTTGAGTAAGAGTTCTGTTGGAGCATGGAAGCTCCTCTGTTGGGCCGCTGTCACACAGCCTTTGCGTACGACCCTCTTGAGAGGCCTGAGCTAGCGACTGGTTTGCTAGCCTCTAATGCAGCTGGTCAATGTGCCGGCGAATGACTCACCCATCTTCCAGGACCACGTCATAAGAGAGTGGTCCCAACAACGTAACAACCACGGCTGCCACCCACAAAGCCCCTTGCCCATAATTCCGAGTCCAAACCTGGTCATCCAGTTGCAAATTCCGAGGTGCCTTTGGCTGAGCAGAGTCTGAGGCAACCTGGTCAGGGTGCAGGCTGTCCAGCTTGGTGATCAAACGTTGGCCCCATCTGAGTTCGGCAGGGCTTCTGTCAATGGCGGTACAGGGAGTTGTGCATTGGCAGAGTAGAAAATCTGCCAGTCTTTGGTGCCAATCCCCTGTGACAATCTGTTTTAGTGATTCCTTTGTTGTGCGGATCATGCATTCCGCTTGGCCGTTCAAGGCCGGTTGAAAGGGAGCCGACGTGGCATGCCATATTAGATTTGCTCTGAGGAAAGACTGGAATTCAGAAGCGGTGAACTGAGCCCCATTGCCTGAGACTAACACGTCTGGAAGTCCGTGTGTTGAAAAGATTCTGCGCAGTTCCTGGATGGTCCTGGCAGTAGTCATAGTAGGGACTGGTGCGACTTCTAATCATTTAGAATGGCTATCTACCACTATTAGAAACAGCTGTCCCTGAAAGGGCCTGGCAAAATTGATGTGGATTCTTGACCATGGTTGCGTGTGTCCTCCAATGGGTGGACAGGGGCTTGTGGCATGTCCGGTCTGGATTGCTGGCACATGTAACAACCATGTACTTGGGCCTCGATGGCTTTATGTAGCCCTGGCCACCAAATGTAGCCTTCATCTGGACTATTCCCGGATGACCCTCATGCAGAGACTCTAGGACCCTGGGCCTTAAAGAGCTCAGGACTATGACCCTACTTCCCTAAAGGTTGCACCCCTTATGAGCTGAAAGTTCATCTTTTCTCATGAAGAAACTCTAAAATTCTGGCCCTGGACATTTGTCCAGCCATCCTGTGTGTACCCAGTTTAGCACATGACTCAGCATTTTGTCAGCTGCTGTGTCAGCAGCTATGTCCCCAGCGTGAAGAGGAGATTTTGTCAGGATGCGTGCAGTGGGAGCTGGAGCTGGCTCCACATGTGGCAGGGGCAACCTGCTCAGTCCATCTGCATGGCCCATTTCCTTGCCCGGTTTGTGAATCATCCTGTAAGTGTAGGCTGACAGGAAAATAGACCACCTCAGCATTCGAGGAGACAGAATCTGAGGTGTCTGTTTGTTTGTGGTGAACAACCCTAGGAGTGGCTTGTGGTCTGTGAAGACTGTGAACTGGTAGCCATACAAGTAGTCATGGAACATTTTAACTCTGGCCATAATGGCCAGAGCCTTCTTGTCAATTTGCGCATAATTGCATTCTGCGGACGATAGAGTCCTGGAGTAATACGCGATGGGCTACTGCCTCCCATCAGCCACTAAGTGGCTTAACACAGCCCCAACCCCATACGGGGATGCATCATACGCAATGCAGACAGGCAGCTGCTCATTGAAATGAGTGAGAACTGAGTTCGATGACAGCAGTGATTGACTGCTTGGAAGCTACTCTCCTGGGCACTGGTCCACTGCCATTGAGCTTGTCTAGCCAAGAGCTGGTGTAATGTCACTGCAGCCTTGTTTGGGAGGAGGGCATGGTAAAAATTCAAAAGGCCTAGGAAAGCCTGAAGCTCTCCCTTTGACTACGGCCTTGGGGCCTGCTGGATTGCTTTTAATTTGGATTCTGCTGGATGAATGCCTTCCGTATCGATGTGGAAATCAAGGAACTCGTTGACTCTACCCCAATCTTGCACTTTTCTTTTTTTAGTTTAACTCCCGTGTCGTGGAACCGCTGAAGGACAGCCTTATGCCATTCAGCCAGAATCTCAACCGATTCCCCAGCAATGAGGACATCATTGAAGTAAGGGAAAACCCTGGAATTCCCTTGAGCATGTGCTCCATTACTCCCTGGAACAGCCCTGGGGCTACACTCACCCTGAACTGTGGGCACTTAACCTTAAAAGCCCCCCTATGGGTGACAATGGTCTGGGCTACCACCATAGACTCATCCACGGGCAGTTGTTGATAGGCCTGTGCCAAATCTAATGTGGCGAACATGCGGCCTCCTTGCAATGACACCAAAATATGGCTGACAACTGGCACAGGGTACGCATGCTGTTGAAGTGCCCTGTTGAGGGTGCACTTATAGTCAGCACATATTCACACTTCTCCATTGGCCTTTAATGGTGTTACTATGGGGGTCTCCCAGCACCACTTTCTACGGGCTGCAATACCCCTTTTTCTACTAGCTTATCCACCTCTGTATCGATTTTGAGTTTTAATGCAAAAGGCACTCTGCGAGGCTTGATCTGTATTGGAGTTAGCATAGGATCAAGCTTGAGGGTGATTGGAGTACCCTTGTAATCCCCTAAACTAGAACTGAAAACATCTGCGACCTCTTGGCAGATTGCAGACAGATGCTGGTTACTTGAATGCCCAATGCATCAAACCTATCAATCCCTATGAGACTCGTGCATTGGCCTTCCACCACTATGACATCTAGTGGCCCCTTGAACCCCTTGAATTCCACCAAAAGTGTAGCTCCACCTTTGACCACCACTCAGGAGTACTGGAAGTCTTTGAGTAGTAGATTAGACAGCCGGAGCTTGGCCCATCTGTTGCTACAATGGCATAGGTGCCTGAATGTTCCTTGTGAAATGATGGACATGGCTGAGCTCGTGTACAGTTGCATCTTGCATGGAACTCCCTGAAGCTTCACCTGTAGTCTAAGCTTCTGCTTTAGGGGGCGATAGGCACCAGTGCGGAATATGCTCCTTCGGCTGGAGAAGAACCCTACGCGGTGTTGACCTGGGGCCCCGGTACCTCTCCTGAATGCGTCTTCTTTCAGGCGGTCCCTCTGATGACTTCAGCAGACAGCAGCAATGTGGCCTGGTTTACCACAGGCCTGGCATGTTGCAGTCCAGAATCAGCAATCCATGCATTGATGATGGCCTCTGCAGCCCATGCATCTAAGGAACGGAACTGCCTTCTCAGCTGGCTGCGGTCCCTTCTCAGGGTGCTTTCATAGCTGGTCGACTTCGTATTCTGAGTTGGTGTCTTCCATCCACTTGGTGTCCTTGTGGTGGGCGGCTTCAGTGCTTGGTGTGCTTTTGGAGGACCGCAGCGCTTTAACAGCCCCTCTGGCAGCTTCATCCACCATGACCTCCTTCAAGGCCTCCTGTAGTGAGAGAGTCTCCTTAGCGAACAGTTTTTGTTGGAGCTCTCAATTCCAGAGCCTGCAGACTAAGCGGTCTCATAGTCTCTCCTCCAAATGCACAGAATTGCTTGATGAAGAGCGACAATGAATTCTGTTGCAGACTCGCTGGGTTGTTACTCCCGCTGCTCAAAAGCGTGCCTCCATGCTATAATGGAAAACTTGGGCTTGAAGTGGTCTCGGAGCTTTTTTTCAAGTCCGTGTAGGTGACCAACTCAAGCGGCGCCAGGCTGACCAGGTTCTCTGCAATGTTGAAGGTGGTGGGGCTGCACACACAGAGTGTCGTGGCCTTCAATCCATCTTTGGCGACCTGGTTGTCATGGAAGTAATTTTCAACGCGAGAGATATAGGATGCCCATCTCTCCAGGTGAGTTACGTTGAATTCTTCAAGCTTCCCAACCTTCGCCATGGTGGTTTGTTTCTTCGTTCAATACCTTGTGCTGCTGGCTTCTGTGTAGACCCTAGGACGGATTCTTAGGGCATGGTGGTCTCCAGTGTGGCTTGCTGGTAGACCAAAGGGGGGAACATAGTTGCTGTCAGGCTCTGTGCTGACCTCACCCCCTAGTGCCTTCAAGCTCTCTCAGTGAAGCAGCACATCCCACCCTCATCGCCACTGTTATATCTTCGGTTCTTTAGGCATTGAACAAGGCAGAGTGTTGAAACAGCAAACAAGTTTATTAACTCAGAACAGAAGCAGCCCTAAAGGCTGCTGCACAGCTATTTATACAGTGAGCCTCTAGGTGGCAACCAATAGGTTTAAAGTAATAGTTTCCCATCCCAAACTTCATTATCAGGTTGGAGACAGCCAGTCTGGCTTTCAGTAACAGCAACTGTTAAACAATATAGCAATGTAGGTCAGACATTAAGCAAGTGATTTAAAACAGTTGTAGCCAATACATTACATTCCCCACTGACTTTGGTTGTGGGAAGCTGGCAGAAAGTTGACTTGTTTGACAAATGTGGAATTCAGTTAACAATGACAAATGTAATTACAGAGATTGTCATTATTAAGCAATTCAGTTGCATTTTTTGACCACATAGTT